CTTATGGTATCAAGGGAATAATTTGTGAATATGAAAAAAAGGGAAACTTAACACCAATAATTGAAAGGTTTTCTAACCAAAAGCAGCTGGTATTGAAGTAACTGAAATCTTATTACAAACCATTACAAGAAGAGTTAAACGCGGCAAATTATGTGCGCAAAAGGCCAATTGCCACGTTGAAATATCTGCACCTGTGCAGATATACAAAACTAAAGGGATCAGGGAAAGCAAAGTCTGTTGGCTCAATATATGTCTGATCAGTTTGTGTTAATTGAAGAGCCAGAATGGACAGACAAGAGTTTCAACACTTGCTTCTTGACAGTCTCCACACGAGTTTGGATCATTTCCATGCTAGCACCATCATGTCAATGCATCGATTTTTGCAGTGCTATATAAATATCCGCCTAAGTTGTCCACCTTTGCTTTTATCTCAGAAAATTCAGTCGCTGCTAAATCAGGGGGATGCTTTCCTGGATCTGGTACGGTGACACTCGCAGACGGGAGGAGGAAACACATCAAAGACCTTAAAGTGAGCGACCGGGTTTTAGCGGCTGACGAGGAGGGAAATGTCATATTAAGCGACTTCATTATGTTCATGGACCACGATCCGACAACGAGAAGGCAATTCATCGTCATCGAGACGTCAGAGCCTTTTACAAAGCTCACCCTCACAGCCGCGCACCTAGTCTTCATTGGAAACGCCTCAGCTAGTTCGGGTATGACAGCAACATTTGCCAGCAACGTGAAGCCTGGAGATACGGTTATAGTGTCGGAAGGTACAAGCAAGACCCTCAAGAGCGTTCCAGTGAAGAGGATTTACACTGAAGAGCAAAAGGGCTCTTACGCGCCAGTCACCGCTCACGGAACCATAATAGTGGATCAGGTACTGGCTTCGTGTTACGCGGTTATTGAGAATCACAAATGGGCACACTGGGCTTTTGCACCGGTCAGGTTAAGTCACAAGCTGATGACGTGGCTTTTTCCGGCGGGTGATTCAAACGTCACTTTTCAGGAGGACGGCATCCACTGGTACTCAAATATGCTGTTTCACATCGGCTCTTGGCTGCTGGACAGAGACTCTTTCCATCCACTCGGGATTTCATACTTAAGTTGAGACTGCAACTACAGTATCACTATGTGGGCATCAGACTCAAATGTAGCCTATCTTTATTTTCTGTAAGAAAAGCCTTAAAGTGTTCATTGAATAATTTATTTGTATTGGACCATCTGTCTCTGGAAACGTAGCTACACACCGATTCAAGCATGATGTGACCGTTTTTGCGCATTTTTTGTGAAACCGACGATAGATTATACAAAAAAGAGAAAGCATTGAATTTACAGGGCTATACAGTGTGCAACCGACTGTTCTATTTTATTGGATAAGCATAGGATGGCGCCCAAATTTTATATTTTTATACACAGGTTTGTATATTAGATTTCTGACGGATAGAAAAGTATTTCCAGAATCTTATTTCGTAAGTGCTAATAAGTACGGAAGCGTGTTAAATTTATTTAAACAGTTGCGATGTATCAACGAACTGTTCATGTCATTATGTCGAGTATGTCAAGTGTCATTGTTTTGACCACTGTTCCAACGTTTGTGTATTCACTACACTAACACTTTTTGTTTAAATGTACATTTCTTGACAAAAGTACTCAAAATAAATTCATGGTACGCAGTGTGCAAATTATTCGATGACTTCCATGAGACGACTTTTAAAGGAAATTTAAAGAAAACATTTTGTTATTCACGTGTAATAGCTACACAGCGTACATATTTAACAAAGTGGTAAATAATGACAGAATCGGATTTATGTACGCACGGATCCTAAGCAGCCTTCTGTTGCTATGGTTACCCCACGGGGGAGTGGGGGCTTATTCTTGCATTCGGAATAACTTGTAATCTAACTTTACAGAATCGTTTGCGAAATATAATAAATACTTTTAAGACCCTCTCCCAAGCTCTCCATAAATTGCTCCCGCGTAAAAAGTGCTAAAAGTATTTTAAAAGTTTCAAAAAGTGAAAAGGCAATTCAGAATTAGTTTTAGAAATAGCAATAGCAGAAATAGTTTTTAGAACAGCAAAATATATAATTGAAAACTGCAAATAAATGGTGCAGTAGCCTAAATCGTGACTAATTTCCTAAATAGGCTATTGGCTAGAATTAACATTTGGCCTTGACCTTTGACATTTTTTAGTAAGATGTTTGGGTAAGACTATGTTTCACTAAGACTTTCGACAAAACTGATTCATTAGTAGGCTAAATATCTATTCATAAAGTAAAAACCCTGATCACCAATTTCAAAGCGTTTGCATTAGTGTAGTCACCGTTCTGGTAACCATTACTTTGCAGTGCACGAGAACAGAAATCTTATATCACAACAAAATATATTATGCTTGATGATGCTATGATGCTTTTAATGTCCACAGTAAGAGTATCTCACAGCTGATGTAGTGCGCCATCTACTGGATCTTTATGGCTCTGTCAGACTGTGTGCTTCAGGTTTCCTTGTGACCAAAGACAGCATCTGTGCATCTTTTTTTTTTCTAAAATCCGACAGAAACAGAGAAAGATTATCCTTGAGTTTAAAATGTTTTGTATTTAAATCTTTTTAATGTTCCAACCCAACATCCCTTCAACATGAATTATAACGTAGCTAAATTAGATCTTTACACTGACTCAATCACTATACGAAAAGCAGCTTGCTAATTAAAATGCAGATCAGTAGCTAAAATACAAATAGAACCCTGTGCATTACAAGTATAAAGAAGTTAATTGAAACGTTCTTCTTTATGTAACCTTTGACACGATTGTTAGTGCATTCTCATGGCAGTTGGCCTAACAGATGTTAGGGGAGCACCAAATATATGCCTCACAAAACAAATCAATAATTTAGTAGTCTCTCGGTAGTCAAATCAAGCTCTACAAGCTCAACATGAGTGAAACATATTCCTGAAATACCTGAACAGTCTTGGATGAAATTTGTTTAATGTAGCAAAAATAGCCACAAAAAGGTCTTAGTGAAGAAACAAACACCAGAGTTTTAACTGCAAGTATTGGTAAAGTACTGATAACATGCGAGGCATGATGTAGATGATTCAGAGGCCATTCAATTCATTCTACAAGAGCTTATGTAGAGATGTAGAAAGGCTCATTCACGTAAAGCTCTAAAATAATTGAAAGCAACGAAGCTCAACTATGGCACAAGTTCAAGCAGTGACTAGCTCAATAACACTGCCCACCTGAGTCAGTTAATCCATCAGACTTCAATCAGACACCAGGCACAAAACCTGTGATGAATGATGCAGACAGGCTGGGAGATACACTGGTATGCTGATCTTTTTCCCCTCAACATTTTACTCAAACACAACATTGGTGGTGGTGGGGAGGGGGACTCAAATTGCTTAATGAGAAAAGTAAGTAACATTTAGAGAGTGTTGCGACAAGGATTGAAATTCCACTCACATTCTGCTTTTGAGGAGGGAGCGGTGTTGACTCTGTGTGGTTGAGACTTGCTGGAAGACACAAAAGGAGCTGCGTGGAGACATAGGGATGACCTTGGGCCTGGCCCAGGTACAAAAGCACTGCTAAAGAAACATTCCAGGGGACCAGGAAAACAAACTAGCCCCTAATCCTCTCTCTATCCCACAGTCTGCCGGATTAGAGCAGGGCCACTCTCTGCAAATGTTGACATTCCCTAACACAAGACGTTAGCGTCTTGGAAAATATTTCAGAATGAAACGTCTGTTGCAAGCAAAAGACAGCGCACAATAGACGAGGCGGTCTTGTTGTATCTAAGAAGCAGTGAACCACATATTCTTTCAGTGGTCTGTGTGATTTGAGAGGGAAGGTATTCGTCTTTTCTTTCTTTTTTCTTTTTTTTGGGAAGTTAAATCAACATCTCCATCAGTGGTTGAAAACATAACTGTTTGAATTTGTTAAAAACTGTGAATTCTTAAATTATCTAAAGAATATGATTAAACAAGAATTCACAGCTTTTTCAAAGCACGATCAATTAAAAATGATATATGATTTTAAATTAATACACAGAACACAAAGCTCATGAAACATGACTATTAAAAATCAAAACTAAATATTAACAGCCTGCTTAAATTTAAACTTTAATTTCACATTTTAAACTTTTTGTAATTCTGTAAAATAAATAAATAAATAAAGCTCAATTTATTCATTAACTGAAAAAGATTAAGCAAATTGGCCACTAGATGGTGCTGGACATCCGCATGAGTAAAACCATGTCGCCTAGGCAGGCTTTTGTCAGAAAAGAGGTAAAATGTATAATATTCAAAATAAGTAAGTGAGAGCTAGTGTCAAATGCAGTGCTTTACTTAATAATGTTGGGGGGAATAGAAAACATCATTGCTTAAAGGGATCGTTGACCCAAAAATTCTCTCATCATTAACTCATCCAAGTTGTTTCAAGCCTTCTTTCTTCAGCAGAACACAAAAAAACACACACAAAAGATATTTTGAAGAATATGGGTAACTGAACAGCTGTTGGTCCCCATTGACTTCCATAGTATTTTTTCCTACTATGGAAGTCTATGGGGACCAACATATGTTCGATAAAACTGCCCGGTCCTGCAGATTTGCTTTAATCAACATCAAGAAGATCATGCCCTTTCTTTCGGAACATGCTTCACAACTCCTTGTTCAAGCTCTTGTTCTAAATGTCAACTATAACTTTAATTCTTATTTAAACATTACTGGTAGTTGTCAATAAGTTATTACCATCGTCATGATGCCGCCTTTTTTTTTATAGGTAATTGTTATCTGCACATTCCACAGAGACAAAACTTAACTAAACTTGAAAAACATTTATGGGGAATAATAAAGGGTGAATAATAAATCAGCAAGAGTGACTATATAAAAGTGACTCAAAATAAAGTATCAATTTATCAAAGAACAAACACAATAAAGGGTTTCTTGGGAAATAACATGAAAAGCCACGTAGGACCATGCAAGTAGTGTAGGTATTTAATGGAAACCAAGAAGCAAAATGTAAACAGCTGCCAAATCATTGTCTTCAACAATCACAAAAAAGGCAAATATTGCATCATAACAAAAATGTTGCCAAACCTGTGAGAACACTGAAAATTTTCTACACAGCATGTTGTTGGATAGGGCTTGATTTCTGAGAGGTTTAGTGGTTCAGTCTTACTATGAAGTTGACATGGGTTTGAGCAGTAACAGACTCTGTTCTCAGGCCGGAACTGAAGGCTCTATAATAGCCGAGACAAAAAGGGAAAAAAGAGGGCTTAAGCGTCATGGTATATGGTACCAATAACACATAAACAAATATGAATGAAACAGAAACATGCAGGGAAACTACGGTGTCTACTTACATGAAAGCGCTGCATTGGTTTCCCCTGACAGCCACCTGTGTCAAAAGAAGGTTATAAAGGTCAGATCAAAAGGTATGACCCCTGAGGGACACTCTTTAAAAAGTAATAATGTCGGGCTGGCGCCCATTATCACGTTCCAGTAGCATTCCCGGTCCATTTTTATAGGGTGACAGTAGGCCTGCTGCCTGTCAGGGTCAGTGGTGTTTTTGTATTGCCTGTGACATCATAAAACCACCAGCTCATTAGAGGCCACTGAGAAGCAATGTTGCATGTAATAGCCGCTCGCTTTAATGTTCCATGTAGCTGTTGGTCACTGCAGGACGCTGTGGGTGGTATAGATCCTAACGTTTAGCAAAAACTTGGAAACGACTTTTGTGTAGATCCCATCCTGTCACCACAGATGTTGCTAAATGAATCACACACTGATTGTTTCACTGATCACATCTATAGTGAATTCAACCAAGTGAATGCTAAAAACACAGGCTACTCCAAAATCCAAAACATAGGAAAAAGAATGCAAAGCGACACTACCGTTCAAACGTTTAGGGTCATTAAGATTTGTAAGAAATTTATACTTTTATTCAGCAAGGATGCATTAAATTGATCAAAAGTGACAGTACACAATATTTCTATTTCAAATAAATACTAATGCTGTTAATGCTAAATGCTAATTTCTATTAATCAAAGAATCCTGAAAAAAATGTACCACGGTTTCCACAAAAACATTAAGCGGCACAACTGTCTTCAACATTGATAATATGAAGAAATTATTCTTGAGCACCATATCAGCATATTAAAATGAGTTTTGAAGGATCATGTGACACTGAAGACTGTAAGTAATGGCTGCTGAAAATTCAGTTTTGCCATCCCAGGAACAAATTACAAAATATATTTTTAATTAATATATTATTAATATATAATAAAATGTATTAAAATAGAAAAGTTTTTTTTAAACTGTAATATTTCTGCTTTTACAGATCAAATATGTGTTTCAAAAAATCTTACTGACACCAAACTTCTGAACAGTAGTTTATATTTTGCTGTACATTTGCTAAAAATGGCAACAACAAAAAAAAATCACTTTTGTGTATGTACAGTATGTACAGTACAGTTTGTGTATGAATCATACTACATACTATATGCATAGCAATTTATACCATATATTACCCTTTGATTGGAGTGAAAGTTTTTCAAAAGTGCCATTTTTAAATGTAAATCACTTGCTTTAATATAGTTTGTGAGAAATATCTTTTGAAATTAAAATTGAATTCTTATGACTGATTTAATCTCTAAAAGAAGCTTTTACAATAAGAACGCAAAAGGAATACGAATACTGTTTTAGACCAGGTTCAAAACTGACATTATGAAAATGGCTTAATTAATTGTCTTAAATCCACATCCATAAAATTTCAAAACTATAACTTATAGCATAGCAAAATAAATGTCCCTCTTGACCTTTCTGTATTCAGCCTTACCTAGAGCAGGGGTTTTCAACCTTTTAGGACATGCGCCCCGCCAACATCCAACCCCCCCCCATTAACATTAACATTAACATAAATGCAAATATCCATTAAAGCTATTAAAGCAGCGAACAATTTGCTATTTTTGATTAACATTATTTACATAAGAAATGCACGGATCCGTTATTCTGATGTGCATTTGATATTTTCTTTACTGTTTACATTCACTTAAAACAACCGACTGTGCTTACAAGGATACTTGTCAAGACACCTGCTGTCTGAGAAGGCTATCTGTTTGTGCACTTCAGCTGTGTGAGCGGTGCGCATAGAAACGCTCTATCACAGTGCGTGAGTACCGCATTGAGATGTTTTAGCTTAAACGGCTTAAAATTACTTTAATGTTTAAACTGACAAGACTTAAAACACGTGAGAATGAAAAACTTTCTCGAGGAAGCAGCACTGGCCTGATCGTTAAGATAGTTTTGGGGGGCTAAGGTGACAGATAGGGGGGGCTGAAACCCACCTAAAAAGGGTTTAGAACCGCCCCTGGTATAGCGTGCGTAATTATACTGAAACATAAATATATAACCAGTTTACCTGATTCAGTGTGATGACTGAGCCTGTTTCTGAGAGAACAACATGCCGATCCGTGGTTGGATTTCTGACACGGCTAATCGTAAATCATCTTACACTGTCAATAAACGTGACCAGGGTTGCCAGGTTTTCACAATAAAACCCGCCTAATTGCTACTCAAAACTAGCCAACACTACAAAACGCGGCAAGTGTTAAAGTAGCCCAAAACCGCGGACTTGGCAACACTGAGCGTGACTGATACTCGAACCAACTCAGCTCTAACTGTCGACTAGGCAGTGGGAGTCAGATTGCCCCCTAGTGGATGGCTAAAGATTTGTTAACTCGTATTCATAAATTCTCAAGGGAACGTCTCTGATGCTCTTGCCCCCCTGGGTTGAACCCACAGGTTGAAAACCCCTGACCTAGAGCTCAACAAGTTAACAAAGGCTGCCCTCTAGTGGACTTTTATAAAATTATAACATTATGCAGCCTTGGGAAGTGCATATTCAGATTTAAAAGATATGCCTTCATATCTCACCAAGACTATTTCACTCACAAAATGATGAGACAAGTGAAAAAGAGCTTAATGAACACAAATCCTAGTAAGAATAGGATTAACATCTTATGCAATAATACGACAATGATAGTAAGTGATAATGTAATTTCCAAGTTTATTCAAAACTAATTTCATAATCATTGTTTTATTTATTTATTTATTTTTTATTTAATCAAATGAACATTAGCCAATTAGTATATCAGCTAACCAAATATAACGCATTGTGACAGCCACAGGAAAAAGGGCTAAATTGTTTAATCTGGAAGAAAGAAAACACACCCACTCACATACACTGAGCAAAACACATAAAAACCTGTGATTCAGACGACTGCCATGTAAGCGTTGCTCAAGGCAATGCTATGATGCCTCTGTGTCTCACTCTCTGTGCAGTAATGCACAGCCGAATGCCTCTCAACCACGTCAAGCCTTTAGATCCACGCACACCAGGGATAGAGTCATACTGTGCAGACAGGCACATCAACAGACCAGGCAACAGCAGGTGACTGGCTGCAGTCAGCATGGGGAACTATGGGGGAATACTTCATCCTCAGAGCTTCCTACTTCCTGCTCAGCCATCTGAGAGGCTTGTGCATTACAAGTAATTACATATCAATGCCAAAAATGCACTCTGTGGCATGCTCTCAAAACAGATACAGAAGTAGACATCAGTAATGAAAACTAGAAGAGAAGATGCCACTTAGTGTTAGGTCAAATGTGATTAACTTCCTTTCTAAAAAATCATGTCAGTAACAATAAGGTTAACTTCATCAACATAGGTATCGTGAGCCAACAACGAACATAAATTTTTAACAGCATTACAACAGCAATACAAGTGATTGTAAATAAAAGTTGTTGCCTTTAATGTTGTCCAAATGAAGTCCTTAGCAATGCATATTACTAATCAAAAACAAAATTTTGACATATTTACGGTAGGAAATTTACAAATTCTTAATGGAACATGATCTTTACTTAAAGCGGAGTCCAGCCCGGGGTCGTCACATGTGGTTGCCGCAAGCCCGCCGGCCGCGCCGACACTATGGCTGCTGCAAATTCAGCTTCGCCATTAAGCATTAGAAACTTCTTTCTTTTCATCTTACTAAAACCCTATTATGTTATTAAACTACTGTACAAATCCATTGAACACACTCTATTTTTATCCCTCACAGCCTCGTTTTCATTTCTGTCAAAAATGCCTAATGTTAATGAACTGAACCTAAAGTTTTACCAAATTACATAAACTACGGTAGAGACGAAAGAGCATTTATATTCAGCAGCCATACTGTACTTTTGAAGACATCATCTGCACCATTTTAGAAGACACTTCAAACAATGAGAAACTGAAGATGTTTCCAAGAAGACAAACACCAAAGGCAGAGGAATGCAGTGCCAGTCTTATGAAACTGCCTGCTCATTTAAGATAGTTTTATTTCAAACGTCTGCACCAGGACAGCGTGTCATTAACTGAACTAACTTTCACAAAGGGGTTAAGCTGTTTCACAGTAAATTGCACTGATCGTATCAGCTTTCCAGGGTGAGTAGACGGGCCTGACAGTGAGTGGTGGAGTTGGGAGGGGAGCGGGGATTTGACCTACCTGAATGGGTTTTACTGACATCAGCAGGTTTTTCAGATGGACCCCAGCGGTTGATGAAGAAAGCCCTTCAACTGACACCAGGTCTGCAGCCTTGCCCATCCTCTCCCCCCTTCTTCCCGCTCTACTGCTCGTCTGTTTGCCTGGCACCAAGTGGGCACTGCCCATCTGGCCCTCTCCGACTCTACCTCGCCCCTGAACAACAACCTGCAGCGAGCGCCAGGCGCATGCCGAGACGACCAATTTAGTTTGCCCTTCTGGCGTCTGCTGATGTTTCAATACGGACGAGATGCCGCAAAGTTTTTTGACTCTATTGACTAACAAAAGAGCAGACCTTTGTGAGGGTAGATGCCATATTTCATTTTACGCAAATGTGGCTGTAAGGGATGGACATACAGTCTGGTCAATGGTTCTTGACAGACCTTAGTCAGAGTAGAATTCTACGCTGATGAAAAAGCCGGGAGGGATAGATTTACAGTCTTTATAATGACATAGTCAGTGTGTCATGAACACGCAATCTAAAAAGAACCTTCATTGTCATCAAATTAAATATGGCATCTACCCAGACCAAAGATGCGGTCACATTTACCACTGCTCTGCAAAATTTCATGGACGAAACACAGTAATTTCAATAAGAATCCAAGCGATCAGGAACTTCGCATGAGGGTGAAAAAGTTCCCCAAGCAGATTTCTCTCATGTTCAAGTTGGTCATGCAAATTTGATGCATTGACCAACAGAAAGTTACTTGGTTTGACAGTGATTTCGGGGCTTCGTAAATCGCTACACTAGTGAACATTTACCTTTTTGTTGCCCAGGAAATATCACTGAAATGTAGTTGATGTGAGGTTTAGACATAAGGTTCAAACTCCTAGGCATGCGATTATCAAGTTCCATAGGTATACTGAACAGAAATATGGACAATAATTTATAAGGATTAAAGAATAAAGTGTAGCATTCTCCCACGTTCACAACATGATAAGGACAGAGACACATTTACCTCATCCTGGAGCTGGTTGGGCCGAATCCCCTTCCCTGTTTGGGACAGTTTAACTTGAGACTGTGTTGCTGAAATGAAGGTGGAGATAAATCAGGCATTCTGAAGGTGACAATTCTGGGCTTCGTTTCAGTCACTGCATTAGTCACTTCACTCATCTGTGGTGTGAGATCACAAAAAAAAAAAGCAACAAAAACAAGAATGTTAAAAAAGAGAATGGAAAAATTATAACTCAAGTCTGATTCATTATTATAGTATGGAAAAAAATACTATGGAAGTCAATTGCTACCAGCAACTGTTTGGTTACCCACATTCTTCACAATATCTTTTGTGTTCAGGTTTGGAGCAACATAAGGGTGTGTAAATTATGACAATTTTTTTTATTTTGGGGTGAACTATCCCTTTAAAGGGGTCATATGATGTTGCTAAAAAGAACATTATTTTGTGTATTTGGTAATGAAATGTGTTTATGCGGTTTAAGGTTAAAAAAACACATTATTTTCCACATACTGTACATTATTGTTTCTCCTCTATGCCCCGCCTTTCTGAAACGCGTCGATTTTTACAAAGCTCATCAGTCTGAAAAGCGAGGTGTGCTCTGATTGGCCAGCTATCCAGTGCGTTGAGATGGGCCGAATACCTCAAGCGTGTGAATACCTCAAGCGTACCTTAAGTAAAACTCAACTGTTTAACTATAGGGGAGTTGGAAAATGAGCCTATTTTCAAAAATAGTGGAGTGTTCCTTTAAATGAAAATGTACTTACAGTCTGTGAGTCAGAACAGCCGGCATTGTAGTCTACTCTACCAGGAAACAGAAACAGTCCTCCATAAAATGCACTGGACACTCTTTGGATTTGAGACTTTAGTCTTTGCAACTTTACAGATCTTCTTTATGCACCAAGAGCTTGTAACACTTCAAAGAGAAAGGAAAAATTGAAATCGCATCATATGACCCCTTTAATATTTAGTTATTTTTCATCCCTAATGGTGGCATGCAGGTCTAAGGATGGACATGAGGTTTCAGTGTATTTTTAGTCCACTTCCATGTGTCTTCCTGACCTTCCCATGCTGCATCTACCTTCCTGTCGTCCTGCCGAGAGTGTCCCACCTCCCACCTCAGAGCTTAATGAGCATAAACAAATCAGGAGTCCCTGTGACTCTCTCTGCTTCAAGTTCCGCACCTCTCTCGGCTGGCTGGGGCTCAATGTCACACCTGACCACTACACTGCTGTGAAAGCAGTGGGCATCCCCAGGCCTACAGTCAAAACAACTGGCCTAGAGTGATGTACAACAATGGCACTCCCACAGACTATGTTATGATGTTAAACAACATCACAACATTTCCTGCAGGAGAACAGACCTGAACATAATTGATTTTTCCCACATGGTCAATGGGACAGTCTGTGTTGTATATATTAGGATTAGGGTTGTCAACACATTAACTGCAATTATTATATATTATTTAAAAAAAATTATGCAATCATTTATTATTATTTAACACAAACAAAAACAATAAAAAATGCAAATAATTCAAGAACAGTTAAACATTCAAGTTTTCGTGAGACCACAGTCAATTACTACTATTGCCAAACCACAGCTATTGAGAGCAGTGGATACAGAATGTGTGAAGAGCCATCTACAAAGGACACATTTAAAAACAGATAGAGTGCAACAGAATGGAACACAATGCAAAGGTATTGAGAGCTGAACTATTTTTAACTATTAACTTCAACTTCCAGTGTAATGTAATGTCTTTGAAGTTGTTTATTTGAGGGGCAAATCTTTATTTCCTCAGCAAATATTGATACATGTGATTAATTTGATTGCTTAATCGGCATCTCATGCAAATAATCTGATTACAAAATTTTACCTATTTGACAGCCCCAAATTAGTACAATACCATTCAAAAGTTTGGAGTCAGTAACATTTTTTGTCTTTTTAAAAGTCTGTTATGCTCACCAAGGTAAGTAAAAACAGTAATATTGCAAATTTTAATATATTTTAAAAAGTAATTTATTCATGTGATGGCAAAGCTGAATTTTCAGCATCAATACTCCAGTCTTCAGTGTCACATGATCCTTCAGAAATCATTCTAATAATATGCTGATTTGGTGCTCAAGAATAATTTCTTATTATTATCAATGTTGAACAGTTGTGCTGCTTAATGTTTTTGTGAAAACTGTTGACAGGATTCTTTGAGCATTTATTTGAAACAGTAATCTTTTGCACAATTACTGTCACTTTTGATCAATTTAAAGCATCCTTGCTAAATAAAAGTATTAAATCCTTTAAAAAAAATCCTACTGACCCTACTGAAAGTTTCCAATGGTAGTTTATGTGTTAGACCAATTAGAATTAATTATGTCATCGTGTTTAATGCAAAACAGTTTAAGTATGTTAGCACCACCAAATGGTGTGTAACTGCAACAGTTACATGTGAATCAAAAAAAAAAAAAGAAAAGCTTGTTGTCATCCAAATTTTTGTCCCCAGTGCGAATCCATAAAAATGCATACTTTCTAATCAAAATCTTCACTTTACATTCATTTAGCTGCTTTGGGTGGGATGAATTAACCGATGAAACTACTTTTGAGCAAAGTCAAGGCATTTAGTAGTTATCCAAGTATGAAGCTCCGTTGTAAGGAGGTTTAAATCCAAATTGGTTTACTGCTCTGGATACACCTGTTTTGATGCATTAAGTGTGAATACATCTTAAACCATATTATGCTATAAACATGTCCCAAGGACATCCCAAATCAAAGCAGCATGATCTGATGCAGTGAAACAGCCCTTTCTGTATTCCGCTGCTCTCAGTGTAAAGTGATTAATCCCCCTCCATAGAAATCACAGCCCTCCATTACACCAATCACACACTAAGCAGTATTATCCTGGGGTGACAACACTTGACAAATTCCCCGCTTGCCCTCACTCCTGCTTTGTGTTCCCTGTTGGCACGCCTGCTATTATTCCTGATGAAAAATTAATTTCCCTTATCTGTGGCTAAGCTCTTCAATCCAAATCCGCCATACTAGCAACTCTCTATTTACAGGTATTAAGAGAACGCGCCCACACACACACACACACATTCTTGCCTGCAAACACACACCAAAGATTAATTGCACGTCTTCAGGGGGTGACATCCAATTCTGAACACCTGAAAGATGATACTTGAGAGAGGTAGAGAGATAACATTGTCAGCGCGGATGAGACTGACAGCGGAACAATGTCCCTGGGTAGCATCTTGCTGATCTGTCTTTCAGCAGGCCCGTACCACTCTGTCAAATGCAACCTCATCGATTCGGCTGTCTACAGACATTTCTCCGCAAAGACCCCCCCCTCTATATAATATATATATATATATATAATATATATTTTATTTATCAACTTAGTTTGGAAATTTCGCATTTCATTAATTCACCCCAATGTAAACTCCAATGTACAATTTTGCATTTTAAAGTGTTGTTTGCAAAAATTTATAATTTGAATAATTAACTTTAACAGCCATTCATGCTTCCATTATAGAAATCCTTGGCACAAAGCAATTTAAGCTAAATAATAATTATATTAATATTATTAATAATATGCATTATACCTTATTACTTTTTAAATAATAATAATAACTACAACAGTAGTAGCAATAATAATAGTATTATAAAAATGTGCATTATGAATGTTTTAATAACAATAACAATAATGATAAATTATTATTATTAAAACATGTATAATGCATATGTTGTACTTTAATGCTTATTTAGTTACAATTATGTCACTAGTGCAGAAGCAAAACAATATTTAAAAATCGGTTCTGCACATCAGTTATTGGACACTTCAAAATAAACTGTTTTGTAACAGCCAATTTTATAATAAAGCCAATATCTGTAAATCTCAAATCATGTCACACCACTTGTGATTGGTTGTTTGTTGGTTGAGATTTTGACTAATTAATTCCCAAATAATAATTAAAGGTGGTATTCATGGGAAAGAACAGTACTTACAACTGGGCTGATGTGTTTTACCACTCCAACTTTAGTGGGAACAGGCCCGTTAGACATTCTCGGCTCACACATCCTCTTGCGTCCTCGCCAGACTTCCTGCGGACCTGCTGCATGGGCCTCTTCAATACTGTACTGTTGGTTCATCTGATCTCGGACTTGCTCTATTCCCTGTAACACCACCCTGTCTGCGCCCCACTGATGAGACTGATTATGCTGCAGCTCTGCTGCACGGCCTGATGGATTCCCTCGTGCCGGTGGAGCTTGTTGTCATGGAGGCTGAAGTTGGGGTGCTAAAACCTGGTACTGGTGCTGCTGTGAAGGCAAGGGCTGAAATTCTGGATGGCACTCCAAGACAAGACAGTGAGGGGGATTATGGAAGGGCTGCTGGTGCATAACCTTTTGAAGGCAAGAACCCAAGATGCACGGCTGTTTCTGTTGATTTTGGTTGTTGTTCCAGTGCCCAGTGGAACTATCAGTTTGGAAGTGCTCCTGCCGCAGATGCCTCTTGTTTACGGCCCATCTAGATCTCATCCATTCCTTCTGTTTGATAACCTGCTCCCTCAGTCGCATCTGCTCCTGCAGCCTCTCCATGTAGAACTCCTCCACCTCACACTGAGAATAACAAAACTAATAATGAACAATTCAATGGTATAATCGCAGCAAGCCTGGACATTTATTAGCACATAATTTGTTTTATAATGAACACTTTTTAAAAAAAGAAAACCACTATAAGTTGTGTTCTATTACTGCTTAAGGTGCAGACATTCTGCTAAATATAATTAAAGCATTTTTAATACAAAAATCCTTGCTGATATCGGCAAATGTCTGCTGTCTGAACATAACTGAAGGAGGAGAATGCAGATAGAAGCCGGACTGATTGATTTTCAGAGCTAGGCATTGAAACAGCCCTGACAGTGACTATTGATTTCCTCCTGCCTGCATTGTTAGAGGTAATAATTGGTCTAATGAACAGCTTTCACACAGACTGCCTGACCTTGAGCATGGGGTGAAAGGCTCTATTACCACACACTTTCATCTCAAAGTCCAGAGAAAATGAGAGAGAGCCGCTACAAAGCCTTCAAACA